ACTGGGTTATACCTATAGCGGTACTTACATATATATCGTACATACACACATATAGTTAGTATAAAAATGTGTGATATTTAGAGCGTCCAAGTGACCCAAATACGGTTGTTGTTGTTGTTTTTGTTTTTGTAAAAAATACAAGGTTAATAAGAATGTCACAGTCAGAACATCAGAACACATGCAAACAAACAGCTTGCGAATGATTTTTTAAGCTAAGAAGTTTTCAGTTGTACTTGCATATACAGGTGTATGTATATTTGTTTTTGTTTTTGCTTTTCCTTCTTAATAATTTATAAATGCAGCAATTATTAACGAACGAAAATAGCAAAATTTAATCACTTTTGTCACAATCAATCATTTAATCAATTTATGTGCCGTGTATACACCCCCTAAACAAGCTGAAGCAAATCGCCCATTAGCTATCGAATATCGATACACTAGATCAACTATCATCAATTTCTATGCATTTTGTAAATTATATTTCCGTTTGTTTGACTCATGAAATTGTCGCTTTTCGGGCACGTGCTTTTTTATTTAACTTTGTTTGGCTGTTGCATTCACATTCGTAGCAACGCAGAAATCGAATTTAACTGCGCGTGTTAATATGAGTAGGTGCGCATTGCAACAATTTAACTGTCAGCTATAATTCAATCAAAGCGTGCAATTGTAAAGCATTTATTGCCTTCATTTAAGCATTGCCATTCTCTTTGACATTCTTTGAGTATTTTGGACAATCGCTTGTGATTTGATTTAGTTGGGAAAAAAAAACCTTGAACACAACGCGCAAATAGGTGGAATTGCCTTTTAAACAAAATTTTGCGCAATTTTAAGTATTTTTATTTCTTTTTCATTGCGTGTGTAAAGAATTTTCCATATTTTTTTTTTGGCGAATGCTAAATTTAGTTGCGACTCAATTAAATTAGTTACTCTTTTTTGTGTGACTGTTGATTTAATTAATACCAAATTTGTTCAGCAAAAAAAAAAAATAGATATAGATGTGCATACATATGTGCGTACAATACAACAATTAAGAAATTATGTTGCAATCTATAAGAATGTTGTGATGTCTCGGTTGATAATTTTATTTACGTTGTGAGCAGTTGCTTTTGGTAATAATTGACTTCTCATTTATTTTTATTTATTTTCTTTCGAGACGCATATAATTCACATACATTCATACAATTTGCTTGGATTTTTTGGATTTGGATTTTTTGCGTGTATATACATGTTTGTGAAGTTTTATCTCAAGTTATTTTTTGTTTGGATTTTATTGATGCAATTATTTTTATTTTTTTATTTTGTTATTTAAATGAAATTATGCATGTGTCTTTTGGCATGCGAAACATTTCCTCTACTTTTTATTTAATTAAAAATTAATTTCATTTTTGTTACTTTCAGTTTAAGGTTTTCTATTTTACACTAGTCATTACCATTTTTTTATTTTTATTTTTTTTTTGCCTTATATTTAATTTGTGCCTTTTAACATTAATTAATATTGATTATTTTGCTACTGCGCGAAGTTTTATTGCTGTTATAAATGGACGCGGATTTTATATTATATACAATTGTTTATCCATTTTAGTTGTTGTTTGCTTAGATTATTTTCTTAGGCTGCAACTACCCAACGAGCGTACCAGCCGTCCATAGTAACCTATCTTATGAGAGCACCATGTAAACACAAAGTTGTCACCGATTTACCATAGCGTTGCTGACGTTTGTGTCGCAGAAACCAACGAAGTTTTGATTTTTCCGTAAAACCGGCTCGGCTCATTTTTCGTTGCTATACAAGGTTGCCAGTATAGCCTTTCTTAAAGTAACATTAAATAATCGAAAATAATGCGTAGTTTTGTTCAAAAGAAATGAAAAATAAATGCGTAACTAATTATTTGTTACCATATAGATTATGTATATTTGCCTTGTGTTTATGTTAAAGCAAATAAATTATGAAATTCGTTGACGAAAATTATGAATTTGTTCAAAAGTGTGCAAACACACAGGCAGCTGGCAACATTTCGCCGCTCTCAGCGGCGTCGATAGCTCGTGTATGTATTTCACTACTAACGTCGTCAGTTATGGACGGCTGGAGAGTGAGTTGGGTAGTTGCAGCCTTAGTCAATGCATTTGCACTTCAAGTGCCAAACTATTAAAAAAGCAAAAATATTTCGTTTGCCAATTCCACTTAGGATATTTTGTCCATATTTTCGCTTCGAATCACTCGACCGACTTCAGAAAATGAAAAAATTATGCATAGTTATTGGTGTGCTTTAAAAAATCAAAGCAATAATATATGTATGCATATACTCAAAAACGTCCTTACACCATTTCATTATTCATTCAAAAATTATTTCAATAAAATACTTGGCTTTAAGTGGCCACAAAAGCTGTTTTTACGTCTCATATTCATTTACTAATATATGTATATATATATATGTATCTATGTATATGCATGCGAGTACAAACGGCTACTGTTAGCTTGTTCTATTGTATGTCTGTATCTTTCGTTTTTCATTTGTGATATTCAACATCGTTGGACATTTGCTTTGCTCGCGGGGTTAAGTTCAATGTGATCAACATAAAAGTATGAAACTCAATTCACCTGTCATAAAAAATTATTTCGAAAATACGTTAATTTGTTTTTTCCTAATTTTCTTTTTCGCTCTACATACATACATACGTGTACATACAAGTTGTTTGTTTGTTTGTTTGATTAATAACCGCTCATTTAAGCCTTTCACTTTTTGCTTCTACTGTAGCACGCAACGTGATCTTAACGTGTGAGAGTCTGGCATATGAAAGCAGTAAATTGCTTTACGTTTAGTAAAATAAAAAAAAATTAATTTAATAAAAAAATTATAAAGGTAAATAAATAAAAAAAAAATCAAAATAAAAAACTTAAAGACATTTTTCATATATTTTTTAGTCGATATATAATATAAATGCCTAAAATTGGTAAAATAAATTTACAAAAAAAGATTTAATGGTATTCTAGATATTTAAAACATATTTTTTCGTCTTCGAAATAAATTTAGCTCCCTCTTTGAATGTAATTTGATTTTCTTCATATTGTTTTCGGTTTAGTAAAATTGCGGTAACTTGAGTTAAGTGGTGCTGATTTAGGAGAGTTGAATTGAGTTAAACTGAGTTGACCCTCAGTATAATTTAGCTAATTTCGCTTAGTTTAATTTTAATGACTTCTTAATGGTCTTCGTCTAGTGGAAACCTTAAATCATATTATCAGTGGTGTCGGGAAAGAATTTCAGAATGTGGAATAAATATAAATGCTAAAACTAGTTGTTAAAAAAACACTTCAAGTAAGAATTACAAATGGGCTGTCTACGTAACAGTTTCTAACTCCTCTCATTGAAATCGATATGTTTTTACGTGCTCCCTGATGACCGCATATTAGACTTCATAGAGGGTCAGTGTTCGAGTACTTGACAGCTCAGGATTTTAAAAGATTTTATCTTAATGAAATCAAAATTAATGTCTTCACATTTATTCTTTCTTGGCATGCAAAAAAGAACTTCTCATAAAAAATGCACAGCTTTTGGGAGATTACAGGGAGAGACACCCAAAACTAATCAGAGCAGTACTCGATCGAAACTGTGATTATACAACTATTTGTTTATATTAATTAATAATAACTTGTGAGGAAAAACAAAACAAAAGTACACCAGACCAACTAACGAGCTAGCCCTCGTTATGTAAGCCCATAAATTTAATAATAAAAAATTCAGCTCAATTAAAAAAAGAAAAATGCAAAAGCTAAAACTAATCAAAAAACGTTGCAGCCGTAAAGCCACTTGAAGGTCCCCTGTACACGGCCATAGCTTATGCTACCGTCTGTGGAGGCTAAGCTGCATCATCCACGGCAACGCACCACTTGTGGTCAACGACGTGTGACACGGTTTCTGCTTTTTGCATGCGGTCGCAGTGAGTGTGCATGGCAGTGTAGGCGACCGTATACTCGTAAGGTCCAGCGAATTTGCATCACTTTTTCATTTCTCTCCATCCTCTGTTTTTATTTGCTGTACGCTATGATTTATTGGCAAATACCGAGCTGCTGAATTAATTGCACGCGCGCAACTTTTTTCATACCTTTTACCTTTCTACTACACCTTTCACAATGCGGTTGCAGTGGTGTGCGCAGTGTTGCAATTGCAGAGGCTCTTTTTTTTGTTAAATTGCGAAACAGTTATGTATGTGTATGCATGTGGTGGAAGATGCAAGAGCTCTCGCCTGCATTTTAGTTTAATCATATTCCTTCATATCCAGTTTTATCTAATCGCATGCTTTTGTCATACTTCCTTTACACCTCCACACAACCCCTCGCCCCATTCTAAGCTCTTAAGTATGCAAAACACGTCTCGTAAGTGCATTAATGGTTCTATATACCGGCAAGTTGGACACCGATCGTCGACTATGACTGGCCGCCCAACGCGAGCTGACTGTTGGACCGTTGACCGTTGGAATTTTAATGAGTTTTGCCATAATTGCTGGTAATAGATTTTTTAATATTCATAGAATAATGTTTACTTAAAGCGTTGTTAGGTTAGCGGTTGTAGGAAGTGGAGAGGCGGAAGTGGAATTATTTTAGTTCGACTGACAAGCGGACTTAAAAGAAAGAAGTTTATATAGATTATGGGTTAAGACCTCGGTATGAGGACTGATGCTAAAATCACTTTGAAAGCATGCTTTGACGGCTTCAATGTTTACTCAAACTATCTCGGCTGGCGTCGAGGTTTTCTCACCGCTCTATTTGGCGCTACGACCTTCGACACCCTTTTGTGTGGGGCGTTAATAAAAATTCAAGTATGCGCAATATCGTCGCAAGGCCAAGCGTTAAGACGTGAAGCTTTTATTAAAAAGTCTTATGTACTTATTTACCTAGCCTTCCATGTTTAGCTCTAATAAAATGAATAATATGCATTTTTATTTTAAATATGTACTCTTTTGAAATACATTTTTAACAAATTTCCTTTCTCTTCACATCTCCGCAGCAATGACATAATGGAACCGATGACCGCATTGGTTTTGGCCTTCCAGATATTCGCCCTATTCTCTATCGCCGGCGCGCTCATCATCTATCTGATATGTAAAGTGCGCGACGACAACGCCGAGGTGGCTGAAACGCAGCCGAGCACAGTGCTGGTGACGAGCGCCGATACCGCGCTTGGCCTCCAACTATGCACACATCTCGCCAATAAGGGCTGTCGCGTCTTTGCCGGTATGCGTGATGCGCAGGACTCACTGCCCGCTAAGCTGCTGAATGGTTGGTTGAAAATGCGAGAATATAGTGAGGAGCCAGTGCGTGGCGCCATCATACCGATGCAATTGGATGTAACGCGCGAGGATGTGCTACGTGAAGCAACCAGTGCAATGGGCGCGCACATGAACGCAGGCGAACGCGGCATAGCGGCAGTGATCAATACGAGCGGCAGTCTGTTTCGAGGACGCGTTGAAGCGCAGGAGGGTCAACAGTGGGAGCATATGCTGAAAACGAACATTATGGGCTCCTTGCGAGTGGCCAAAGCGTTTGTTGGCTTCTTGCGGCCGACGCGTGGACGTCTCGTTTACTTGGGCGCTGGTACTAGTGCGGCACAGGAAAGTGAAGCCGGTCTGGTGGCATTTAATGCAACGCGCGCGGCTGTGGAGAAGTGTGTGGAAGAGTTGCGCAAAGAGTTGCAGCCCTATGGCGTCAGAGTGGTGTCTTTAGACACAAGCGGCTTAACGGCGGAGGCGCTCTATAAGGCGCCGGTGCCGCATAGTGAGTTCAAATAGCGTTTCGTGAATTTTTTTAGTGTGTGTATTTATTATTATTATTTTTTTTTCAATATTTTTTACAGCTGCCGATGCCGAAACGGAGGGCACACCGACACAGTACACAGCGGATGTGTTAAGCGCAAGCGCTTTACATGTGATCGAGCGCGCTCTGTGGGATGTGGTGCCGCTGGAACGCTACCAATTGGTGCAGAATAGCAAATTGAATTTCATGTTGCCATGTCGTTCATCGTTGAGGATGACTAAGTTGGGTGAAGGTGCGCGGCGCGGTGTGCAGCGGGTTTGAGCGTCGCCACGAGGACGTCGAAAAGAAGTGTTGTTATGAAAAGACTTGAGTCCTGGAAGTAATAAAATGAAATGTGAGCAGGCGCAAGTGAGAAAAGAAGAGCGGTAACGGTAAAAGCAAAAACGGGAATGGCACGACACGTCGCGGGTGTTCGCTGCATGTTTACGGCAATTGGATGACAAAATTTGGGGACACTCCAAACATTTGTTTTAAACAAATCTACAATTTTATGTAATTTTTTCGATTTAAGAAAATGCAAAGTTTACATGGAAACTGCGAAAGTTTGTATGACAAAATTATTTGACAAAGTAAATTTAGCAACCAATTAACAGCTCTTTATTCATAATTTTGGAAAAATGGCGAATAATTTGAGGTTAGTTGAGTTTGTTTGCGTGAAAATTTTCAAAACGAGCTAAAATAGGTCTACCCCAGCACTTCCCATGTAAACTGTCGTTTTATATTTTTTATTAATATACTCTTATATATACCATATAAACATACCTATGTACATATATGTATGTGTGCGCATGTATGTGAAACGCAACTACATATACTTTATGTTAATTTTTGTAAATAATGAAATTTATATAAAATACTTTCTGCTGCATATTTTATTTCATTTTTATTTGTTATTGAAAAATAATAAAATCGGCTGCCAAAATTATTAACTTTTACAAAATGAAATATACATACATACATATATATTTGTAAACTTTTTGCAAGGCATTAAAATAACTGCTTTTATAAAACAGAAACCTTTTCGAAATATAAATTTTTTTTTTGTTTTACTTTATAACTTTATTTTACTAAAATAATATTTGAAAGTGCAAAAAGGCCACACCCAGTAGGAAATGTTGTGCATACATGCATTTGCATGTGAGTGAGTACATTTTGTACGCACTTCTATTCGTATTTCGAGATAAAATCATAGCGCAACACCGAAGCGCGGTACACATCGCCCGCGACGGCGCACGGCTTATCCGATGTGCGCCCAGGCAGGTGGACCAATACATCAGCGCCGACTATGCTCTGCAAGCGACTGCTCATCTGCAAGTAATTGCGGTTAAAGTAGCAAAACACCGTTAGTGGCTCAGAAAATTCTTACTTGACTGCCATTGACCGAGGCGTATAAGCGACCGTTTTTGCTCGTCACGGAAGCGCGTACATATTCCGGGCGCGGGTCGAGTGCAATGCTCTCGTTTTGTAGCTGCGTAGGTGGCGGCGATCGAGGAGAGCAATTAGTAAAAAAAAAAAAATGTTTGTAAAATTAAAAAAAGTACCTTATAATATGACACTTGATATAAAAAGTCAGCTATAATTAAACATTTGGGCGATAAGTAAATATGTATGTATTTTGTTAATTGAAAAACACTTGAGCTATTCTATTTTGTAGTATGTATTGTGGTATATACATAAACGTTTACGCTAACTTACAGTTATCGGCAATGACGCCAACTCGCACTTATCACGCTCCCAGCCGGCAAACCAACGTATTGCCGGCAAAACAAACAAATGAAACGTGACGAACGCGGAAACTGGATTACCGGGCAGACCAAAGAAGTAATGATCTTGCTTGGAGGCGAAGGTCATTGGTTTGCTGCAAGGAAATGCTGTTCTGAAAATACCAACATTTTGCAATTAAACACCGCCGCTTACCCTGGCTTCATGTTAACGCGTCCGAAATTGAGCGTGAAACCCAAAGCCTGCAGCGCCGGCTTGATATAGTCCTTATCACCCATTGATACGCCGCCACTGCAGATGATGAAGTCCACACTTTTGAATAATTCCTCGATTTTTCCTTTAACGATTTCAAAGCTGCAAGCATAACGGACTCTTTTAGTATTATGATATTTTCAGACTCTACAGCGACTCTTACTCATCACTCAGCACCACCTTTTGTGCGCATTCAAAACCAAAATATTGCAGCAGCTCCTCGAGCATTGTTGTATTGGAATCGTAAATTTTACCCTTTGCTTCAGGCTGTGATGGCGCCAGCAATTCACTGCCGGTGGAGATAATGCCAACTTTTGGCTTGCGCACACCAGTCAAATGTTTGCCCACCGATGAGAGTATGGATTTGATTACCACGGCTGAATGATCGGCAGAGGGAAAGAGTTTGCTGCCTTTACGAAGATCAGTACCAATGGGACTGTAGGAAATTTATAAAAGAAATACAAAGTTGCTAAAATATAGAAAACACTTAATAATCCACTCCTCACGTACCGTATATCCAAGTTCGCCTGTGGTTCAACCAAAATCTCAACTAAATCTTCTTCGCCCGTCTTTTTTCGCTTTAGCAATTTTGTATCTTCTACTTGGACGATGCAATCGGCGTAATGTGGCACTGGTGCACCTGTGTTTATCTTATAACATTCGTCCTCTTCCAGATCGTGCACTATGACCTACAGGAAGAGCTTAATTATTACTGGAATATTAGCAGCAAAAATGGATCATTTGACCTCATCGCCTGCTGAAATATAGCCGAGTACTTTCTTGGTACCCGAAAAACCTGTAGATTTCATTGCGTAACCATCTTTAATGGAAGCCCGAAATGGTGGTATATCCACTGGTGCCACAAAATCATTCAGTAATTGTGCGACTGCCCGTTGTTGTTGCACTGTTTGAAAGATCACCTCTAGAGCCTGAACTACAGATATCATGGGAAACGGCGAGTTCCTATCGCTATCATCACCTTTTCCTGTCTGATGGGGGCACACGTGCCCACTTGTCGATGCATTACCAACAGTCGCTTGCAACTCTGCATGTACACGTCGTACTAAGGGCAATTCATTGCCTATTAATTGCAACGCATGTGGCAATAGATCGCGTACCACTTCAAAACATTCTGTCACTGCTTTTTCACTGCCTGGAAAATTGAGTATCAGCGTGCTGCCGGCAATACCGCAAACACCACGGGTTAGTGCGGCGAATTTGGTTATCTGAAGTGACGCTTGCGCAATATACTGTGCCAGTTGTGGGCATTCTTTGTCAAGAAGAAATTTAGTTGCTTCCGGCGTTACGTCACGTGGAGCAAAGCCAGTGCCGCCTGTGGTTATGATGGCACTAACGCTGGGATTTCGCTGTGCAACAAGTTGACGTAACTTATCGCTGATCTGCTCACGTTCATCCGGTAGTATAGCTGATAGGATATGTGCATTTTGAAATGCTTCACGTATGAGCGCAACCAATCGAGGGCCACTGCGGTCTTTGCTGGTGTCCTGGCTACAGGTGTCACTTACTGGAAATAATTGTTTACTTCAAATAAGGTTTTTCGATATGGTTCGAGAACTCACTTGTTAATATTGCGAAACAAATTTCACCAGCCATGTTCACGCTTTCACGATTGCGGCTTTAATGCTTACACAAATATAATACAAAAACATGAACAATTTAATCACAACGAAAAAAATAATAATAATAAAAACAAAAAGACGATGTCAGATATGGAAGACAACGATAACGATGATGAGAGAGAGCGGTGTTTTATCTGCCGACGGAATTGACGTCTGTTGCTGGCGTAATTTATTCTACATTTTCTGTAGCAGAGACCGGGTGCAGCGCTGCGTCGTTGGTGTCAGAAATTTGAGGAATTTTAAAAATATAACTAAACAGATTTTTAATTTAAAAAGTAGCGAAAAATGTTTGGAGTTATTTATGAGTATTATTACAGTAAATAAGTTTATTATTTTAAAATAAGAAATAGTATATGATTTATAACATAAATGTGCAACTCTGTAACATTCTTTTTTTTTCTCCTTTCAATTGATTTTGACAGCAAATTGTTTACCGATCAGCTGTTTCCGAAAGAGAAAATTCTGAAAGATCCTAATCATTTATTTTAAATTTATAAATAAAATAGTAAATTATTTACCATGAGTGATCATAGTTCATATGATAATGTGCCAAAATCCGAGGTTGGTATAATTCACAAATTGGACACTTGAACCATGAATTATTTCATTTCTTTTTATAGCAAACGCCACAACCGCAGGCAAACACATTGAACAATAATCCAAGCAGCAATCGCAGTAATAATATGACTACAAATGCCCCCGTAGCAGCCAACGAACTTACGCCTGGTCGTTGTAATCTACAAAACTGGCTTGGCCATACATTTCGCGTTGTTATAACTGATGGACGTGTGCTTGTTGGCTATTTCAACTGCACGGATAAAGATGCTAATGTGGTACTCTCTATGTGCGCTGAATATTTAGAAGAAGGCAAGGATGCACGCATATTGGGAAATGTAATGATACCGGGAAAGCACATAGTTTCCATTGCCGTGGATATGCCTAAAGATGCAGCATTTTCGCATAAACCCAATGCACCCACAGTGACGGAAATAATGTAATAATGCTATAGCAAACTGAAAACGGCATCCAGTCAATAAACACACACAAGCCCGTATAGTTTAAGTGACAACTTTTATTTCGTTTAACATTAGCAAACATAAAATAAATTTAACTATGAACTAAGACTTTGTTTGTGCAGACGCTTTATTCTTTTCCTCTAGAGGGTCATAGCCTTTATCCATCCGTTCTTTAAATTGTTCATATGTACGTTTCCGATCGAAATGTTTTACCCATTGCCGTGGACATGATCCCTCGAATACTTTGCGTAGTTTTAGACAGGCGTCCGGCACTTTTTCACCACTTGTCGAGCTGTGTTTGGGTGCGTTCTCATTCAAACACTGCCAGTATTCATCACGCGACGCCCAACAACGCGCTCGTTCGTCTTTGGTGGGGAAACTCATTTATGAATATGTTAAGTTCAAAAGAGTTGCGATTTTTTTAATTAAAATAGTTATAAAATCATATGAAAACGACTTCACTAACAAACAGATGCAATAGGCAGTGACATAACCTAAACAACTGTCAAGACAGCAGCTGATTGTCAAAGAAATGATAAGAGCGAGGGTTGCAGATTGTGCTATCTTTTAAAGTAGTATTTTTAGATGAGGTAAAAATTGTTTATTTTTATAAAATGTAAATCAGCAGACCTAAAAATACGTATATTTAAAAAGATTGAACATAAATTAAGTTGTTCGAATTAGCTTATAGACAAACTGTCAGATATTGCATTTGATTTTTGAAATTACTGTTATTGCATTCATAAAAATATGTATAAAAACTACCTTAAATTAAACTAGAATATGAAAAATGGACGTTAATTCTTGAAATTTCAAGCTAAGTAGCTGCTTTAGCACATTATCACCTCAAAGTCACTTGCTTCACATGTACACTACCATGATCTGGTAAGAGATGCTTTGCACTCGCGACACAAGTCTTTTTCAAGGATTTCTCCGGCGGTCGCTTGGTGCATTCGTCAAAATAGCACTTCTCGACATTGTGTAAAAATTCCACCAGCAATTTGTTATCTCCTCCATTTGGACCCACGAAATACTCACACTCATAACTACTCGGCTGTTTTAGATCGCGTACACAACAATCAATAAATTCGGCATTCGCCGAGTACCAAGCATTCAGATGCTGCACATTTATTTTCAGCTTCTCACGTAAAATACCAGTGACCCAAGTGTCATCAATCCAAAAAAATGGTGTTTGTTGTGCTTCTTGCACTAAGCGTGTAGCTGTTTTCGGGTTTGTTATATACAGCCAGCCAGAGAGATAGGCAGGATATGTTGATCTAGACCATTCCTGCTCAGAAACATACCATTTATTGGCGTTATTACGCACAGGTGGACGTGCATCCAGCACATAACCAGCTAAGTATGCTCTGGATGCAACCAAATCCGCTCTCTGCACTTCTAATGACTCCAAATATCGGCGAAAATGGAAAACATCGTAAATAATATCATCGTCTACTTTTATAATAAATTTCGCGCTGCTGCAATCGGTGGATGCCCATCGTAATCCCATTACATGTTTATAACTTAAATTGCGATACGCTTCTTGAAAGTTGCCTTGCAGTAGATCGCCAAAACGCTGATGTTCGTCCAGCAATTGCTTTTGTGTGATGAATTTTTCTGTAGGTGGAAGTTGAGCCAATAAGAAGATGCGTTGCATGCCCATTTCGGCTAGTTTGGCTTGCGGTACGGCTAAGCGATGTGCAGCACGCAATTCATCATGTCCGGCGTATGAAGTAACAATAATTATGGCTGTAACACAGAAAACCATTTTTTTTTAATTTGTATTCATGTATGTACATACATAAACATGAGTGTATAATATGCGACGCTTATGAGATACGCACCTAGCAAATCCTTGTCATATTTGCGGCACACATCATTTGGAATTTCATATTTAAAGTTGGTTAAATTCACTAACCGACTAGCACTTGGGTCAGACTCTATATGTTTACTTGTCGTCTCCTCTTTAGAGACATCTTTCTCCAGCGGTGGCAGTTGCGTTAAGAATTGATCCCGTTTTCCAGTGGGCATAAAGTAGTCGAGGCAAATTAACAGGAAAACCAGTACAAAAAAGGTTAAAATTAAGCATTTATAAGCAATACGACCGCGAAGACGCATTTTATTGCATTTTTTGCATAAAATTCCAAGAAGCAAAGAAATTAAAACAAGTTTGCGTCAATAAAGAAATGTAAACAATTGCAGCAGAAGCTTTTCCAATTAGAAACTACGCGTCCAATTCACAGTCGTCACCTTTGCAGCGATCAATTGTGAATTGCACGTTTGCCGGCGGAGATCTCTTCAGGGTGCTGAGGAATTTCTGATTGACATCAACATATGTTTTTTTGTTGGTCTGTTTTGGATATCATCTCGATTTCTGCAAAAAGTTGACGGCACGTGCATTGCCTTATCGGGTCTTCTATTGCATTTTGTGGCATCAGTTGTTTGTTTTCATTACTAACGTTCGTTTAATAATAAATATAGTGTGTTAATAACGTGAGGTCTTGTTGTTAGTATTCCGTGGTTCGGTTAAAGAGTTAGAAAGTGAAATTTTAATTGAAATTCACGTTTAAAAATGGGCAAGAATAATAGAAATAAAAATAATAAATCTGCAAATAATAAGCAACAGCAGCCAGCAACTAATACGCTCGTCGACCACGCACAAGGTGCACAGTCATCTTCAAAACAGCTAAAACAACAACAACAACAACTGGTGCCCAGTAAACGGCCCTCATTGACATTACAAAAACGTAATGAACTCAGCGCGCTCATCTCTACATTACTTGAGATTGGCTTCAAACAGCCCACGAATCCCAAAGAAGAATGGGATCAGTATATAGAAATACAAACACTGTTGCACCGTGTGCAAATACTCGAAGCGCCGCTACGTCGCCACACCTGCAATCCGAATGCATCAGCGCGTATGGCTAACATTGAAAATTTCTATCGTTGGGCAACTGAGAACGGGCTACGCTACGATGGTGTGCGTATAGCGCAATTTGAAGGTTACGAATTGGGTTTAGAAGCAACGCGTGATATCGCTGAGGAAGAGGTACTCTTTAGTATACCAAGAAAACTGATACTCTCCGAAGAGAACATGGACTTGGAGAATAGTCCCGCACAATTTGGTTCAATGACAAATTTAAAATTGTCTTATGCTTTGATGCTTGAAGCACTAAAACCAAATAGCTTTTGGAAACCCTACATCGACTTACTGCCGGAGAAGTACAATACTGTGCTATATTTTACAACCAAAGAAATGGAAATGCTACGCGGCTCAAATGCCCTATCATCTGCACTCAAGCAATGTAAAGCGATTGCACGCCAATATGCATTTCTCTACAATTGCACCGTACAAGCGCCGCGTACGGACAAATTCAATTCAATGGGTCAGGCATTCAAGGAGCAGTTCAACTATGAGTTGTACCGGTGAGTAGTTTAGTTTTTTTTTTTGTCAAATTGGGGCCAAAGTTGCTGAGTGAAAATGAAAAATTGCATATACACACATATCTTGTGAGATTCGTTTGTTAAGTGAGGTTACGTTACCTAAGTCAAATCCATAGGAAGCGGAAATGAAGAAAATGGGAAATAAGAACGAAACTGAGGGTTAAGTAAAAAGTTTGTTGCGGTGAATATACATAAGCAATGCATACAATTGAAGTTGAAAAAAAGAAAACATTTTAACAAAAACCGAGTATCAAAAAAAGAAAAAAAAAGAAAATTAATGTGTAGATAAACACATTTTAAAACCTTCTATGGAAATGGATGCATAGATCACAAAGGCTACATATACATATATATGTATGTATTTTCTTCAAAATATTTTATGTAAATTTTGCTTCAAAAAAAGAGTTTTAAAGTTGTTTGTTTTTTTATTATTTTTTATTAAAAGTATATGTTTTATTTATAATTGGTATCAATATAATATCAATGTGTTGAGGAAAAAGGTAAATCTATTTAAATATATTTATATATAATACACATTTTGTAAAACCGCTTTTGTATAGCTTAGAAAGTTTTTTCTTTACTATTTTGTTTAAAACTCTTTATTGTTAATTAAATAATGAGCAATACATGCTTAAATAAACTAATTTATATTTTACGGAAGAAAACAAAACATAAAAAACCGAGATTATAATATGAATATTACATTAAAATAAATTATATTTCTTGATTACATCGTGGCGATGTGGGGAATACATACAATTTTAAGATTTTTGTACAAAATCCGTACTTTTGTGTTTTTTAAAAACGTTTTCAAGTCTGTAAACTCTAATTTTGGGTAGTGCATTTAATTTTAATTTGCACGTTTTTGTCGACAATTTTCTTTTTTCAATACACCCTTTTTTTAAATAGATTATTGTCATTAAAAAACATTATTTGTTTTATACTAAAGGTTTTGGTTGCGCTAAATTAAATATTTAGTCCGAAAGTTGATCAAATTTTTTTTTTTTTGTTTTCACTAAAACTGTTTTTCTATATTTTGCATATCTTAAATTTTTTTTTGTTAAAAAATGCATTTAAAATTTTGCCTAATTTTTATACAATGTAATTAATTTAATTTAATTTGTATAATCTTAATATTATTATACTTTATATCAATTAAAATAACTTTTTTTTATTTCAATTCATATATTTTATATTATTTAGTTAGTTTAATTTTATATAATATTTATTTCATTGTATTTATTTTATTTTATTTATTTGAATTTGATTTAATTTGTTTTATATATAGGTANTAATATATATATATAATATATATAATATATATATAATATATATATTTTATTTTTTTATTTTAATTTATTTGATTTTGATTAATTTGTTTATACTATATTAGTTTATATATTTTTTATATTTTATTTTGTTTGAATTTATTTAATTTTATTTTATTGTAATTTGATTCATTTAATTTTCTTTAAATAATTTTGACGAAATTTCCCTTATTTTATTTATCTGTTTATTTAAAACTGATGCTTTCCCGCATCCGTTGTGCCTCTTGAAAACCCGCTTTTAGACCGCGCCAAACGAATTTTTAAATTTCACACCCTGTTGTTAGTAAAACTTCTGTTAAAATATTTTTTTTTTTTGCATTTTTTGTTTAAATTTTTTATCTTATTTATTATTTTCAATATTTTTATAACATTTTTTAACAAAGAATTTGGTTTTTTAGGTTAGGGCTCATGTTTAGTCGCATTTATAAAATTTATTTAAAATACACATTTTTCAGCTACTTTTTAATTTTTTTTTACAGTTATAGTGTATATTTAATTTACTGTGTTTCTGTTTTTTCCATTTGGCAATTCGTTCCGTTATTCGTTTTTTCTCGTTTTTTTCTCGTTTTTAACTTTAAAACTTACAAAAGACTTATTCTACAACAGATTTTCTTTTTTCCAAAAATTGCTTTAATACGATTTTCGCAGCGCATCAAACAAGTATTCCTGCACTTCCGGCGAATTCGGATCCATTGTATTGAGTCTGTTGGTGGAGCTGTTGTGTACGCTCTGCAGGGATAACGCCAGCGATGTTGTGCTGCCCGTGGCACTGCCAATGCCGCCGCTGTTGCCCAAACTGTTACGCGTCGCTTCGCGTACTATTTTACTACGCCTGCCGCCACCTCCACAGCCAGTGCCGCCGCTCAACTCATCCACGTCCATACTACTGCAATGGCGTGGGAAGAGTAGAGAACTCTGCCGCTGCAGCTGATGTACCGGCGAAACCGACACCGTGGATACGCCGCCGACCAGCTCCTCCATGTTGCGCAAGGACGAGCGCCGCGATGAATTCGCCACAGTCGGTAGCTTGCTTTTCATGGCGTTGTATGTTTTGGTGTAGCTGGTTTTACGCTGACGTCGCTGCTTCCAGCGGCACACTACGAATATCACCATGAATGTGACGAGCGAGGTGAGCACAATGGCCGCGCTGGCGACTATTGCGGAGCGTATGCTTGCCGGCATGTTGCTGTAGATGTTGCTTTGGCTGTTGGCTATGGATACAGCTGCGGTCGCCGGGCTGCGCTTGAAGCCATGACCGGATAGCTCGAGATCGAGCAGGTCGTGGGCACGCGCCACCTCGTTCTCAATTGCCTCAACGGTGTCGATGTGGTTAAGACTGGCGATTTCTAGCTGCGCGGCGGTCAGCTCCTGCTGTTGCGGTGGCTCCACGTACATCTTTGTATTTGTTTCGTTGTCTAAGAGAAAATCGTTGTCGTCCAACTCAACGGAAGTGTTTTCGAGCAGCATCTGTGGCGGTTGTAAAAAGAATGGGTTGCGTTTGGTGGACGCGTCGTTGCGCGTACTGGTGGCTAGTGAGGCAAGTGCCAAAGTTTTCCAGGAGGGAAAAAAACCTACAGCTTTTTCTGTTCGTTGTGGTTGTATGGCGGAACCTGCGTTGAGAGTGAGTGGGAGAGAGAGAGAGAGGGAGAGAAGAGAGCAAAAATAAAAAAATAAAGCGTAGCATTTAACTTGATTACATATTTTAGCGGGGAATATTGCACGCGCACTTACATGATTTGTGGCAAGCTGCTGAGATTGCGGCTGCCGCTGGTTGCTCACAGGAGCGCTTAAGTATGCTGCTGGAGGGAGGTCTGGAATAAAAATTTCGCGCCTTCCGCTTTAACTCAGCAACTCGCCACAAATCTTGCAGGCGTCGTTGCAACGCGCGCCGTTTAATGCCACTTGCGCCGCCTATCGCCCGTGTTACTACGATAACGCGTGGCGCCGCGATATTGTCGGCGTCGTCGCTCTAACCGATTACGTTCGTACGCACCTTTTCCGCCTCCGCCGCCAGTCTCATCCTTATATATCTCATCCGTCGGCTCGATGTCGATGATGGAGGTAAAGTAGCTGGCTCCTTGCGAGTCCGTCTTTATATCGTCCGGTTTGACACTCTTCAAATCCATCAAATTGAAATGCGGAAAGTTTTCAAATGCTGTAACAATATCCATGTTGTCGTGTAGAACGACTTTCTGACCGGGAAAAAATCGCGAACGATTTTGTACGACTGTGGCCAAGTGTAGTTGGCTGGAGCCACGTTTGCGATGTTCGATGAGCTCCTCGAGCGTCATGTTGCGCTGCTCAAGCACTTTAAAGAGCCGATTCCCGGAGCGACGATCTTCAATGAGCTCGAGTAGGTCGGTGCGATCGTCTACGCCGTCAAAGTCGGGCACAGAGTCCTGATAGCTATAGGTATCGCCGGGTATGGCTGGCTTCACGTAATCGATGCGGGGCGTAATGTTTTCCACGACGGCGGTGGTGGACTTTGCACGTTGTTGCTTAGTTGCGGTTGTTTCGCCGCCGAAGAAATTCTCAAGACCATTAATTTCGACGTTGGCATCTCGTGACTGCACACGTGTGTCATCTGTCTCAATGGAGTTCGTTTTTAGATTTGATTGTGTACCTAGTGCGGGTTTTGTCCGCTCACCAGCTGCGTTTTCGCTCGTTGTAGACGTGGCTTGGCTGCTTGGTGCGCTTGACGCGAGCTTCGGTGCTATGGTGAGCTTGGTTGTGGCAAGCGTAGTCGGCGTCGTGCTGAGCGTGGTGCTGATGCTGGTTTTGGGCAAGTCGTAATGTAAGTCCCGCTCAGCAAAGTCGAATTTACTTGTAGGTTGCACATCTGTTTCCTCTTCATCCCGCAGGTACTCCTCCTCTTGTTGCTCCTCGGTATCTGCGTTGTCTGGGGTAACTGTCTTCACATCCGGTTTCTCATCTGCAGCGAGCTCCTGTTCATCCAACCCCTCGTCGCCTACCGCCGTCGGCTCCCTATTGTATCTATTGTTGACTATGGTGGTGGTCAGTTTTTCCTCAAAGTTTGTCTCGTCGCTTGTATCCGGCTCCGCGCTTGATGGCGCTGAGGATATAACATTCTTTAGCATAAACGTCGGCTTAAGCGTGGAGCGCAGCATAAAATTCTTCTTATAAATCGGCAAGCGAGTTGTCGTAGTGGTAGTCGTGGTGCTAGTTGTGGTTGTGGCGCTTGGCGGCGTGCTAACTCGTCTCGTTGTACTACCCGCAGCAACGCGTGTTGAACTGCTGAAATATTTCAAGCGATGCAATGTCGGCATCTTCACTTTGCTACGCAGTTGTGCATCAACGTCGGGCGCCGTTGCGTCTGGTGTGGTGCGCGACTCTACACTCAAGTCAAAATCGCCCTCTGTATGCGTTTGTTGCGTTACGCCGTCCGCAGCCTCCTCAACACTACTAAAATACGGCACACGGCGCATTGGCTTAATAGGTTTACTGTCGAGCGTCTTGGTCGGTGTCGGCGGTGGCTGTGGCTGCGGTGCCGCTGCTGTACTCTGCAACACCTGCAATGCGTTCTGTTTGCCCTTCAGCAGATCGTCCAACGATAGATTTTTCTGCTGCAAAATCTCACTCAAACTCAAACCGCCGGCGTTCTTGAGTATATGTTTCAAGTCGACGGCTGTTTTCCCGCTCGCGCCGGACGCACTTAAACCAACTGTCAGTTCAGCATCCTTCTTTGCTTGCGAGTAAGGCCGCCGATAGGATTTATCGCGTGCGCTGCCACTCGGTGCAGTCTCCTGGCGTTGCTTATCGCGCAGCTCATACAACTTCTGCTCCTTTTCGAGCGCGGCCAGGGGTTCACGTATGGCGGGTTGTTTGCGTTTCCGACTGCCACCCCCGCGCAATTCGTCACGCCCTTGGCTCGGATTGCCGGGGGTATTGTCATTTTCCACTCTACCGCGCCAATATTGCTGTTGGCCACTCTCATCGCCACTCACTGCTGGTCGCCTTGTACGTCCGCGCATGTTGCTGGCGGATTGCCGACGCCGCGTTGATGCCGGTTGTACGCCCGAGGTGTCGCCATAGTAGTTGCTGGGCTCGCTTGGTTGATTTTCATCGCCGACGACAAGTGAAGCGCCGGTGCGGATCATCTGAAAATAGAGAGGGAAAGGGAAAAATATTTATGAACATATTTATGCTGAGCTCATAATTTCAGAAATTTAAGAAATATTGAATTGCAAAAAAGGGGAAAAAAGCTTTGCTTTGTTGTACAGAAAAGTGGTAAAGGTTTGCATTGCAAAAGAAGACGGAGTCAGCTGGTAGATTCTAGCCTTGTGATTTAAGAAAGCACGGGTCCAAGCTCATAAGATGATATAAGGTTATAGAAACTACAGTTTTATGTAGGAAATCGAGGAATTTTGCTGAGTGAACTGAGTATTAAGTTAGTATTCAGAGTCCTTAGGTATTGGACCACCTATATTTTGGTCACAACACTAAATGCAGGATGAGTTACGAGGACCGACTCACCACAAGCTTCATATTTAGTTCCCGCCGTGCCAACTCATAAAGTGAAGAGCTCCAGGAGAACCGACTCACTACAAGACACTGCTGTTTGACAATCTCTGTCCCATTGCTTGATACTATGCATATTTGTATTTTTAATTTGAAAATTCTCTTTAGTATTTTATATTTCAATACAGTAAAAATTACTAATGCCCTTAGTTCTGCACTACAAGTATGCAGAGTTGCATTTGCGCCCATTGAAAACACTTCAATTAACATACCTTTATGTTCCAGTCATTTAATAAACAAGTCATTAGGTTTTTGTTTCATTTGCATCAATACTTGAGTTTCTTCCTTCTACTCCCCTCTCACGAGAAGTCTTTTGCCCCCTTTATGCGTTATCTATTATACATTTACGATTCTCTACTTCGTTGTATCCGTTAATTGTTCATTGAAGCGTGAATATGAAATGCACTTAACGGCTTTTTGATTGATTGAGTTGTTGCACAACAACAAAACAAAAAATCTTCCGTCACTCTTTCCATTCTATTGACCCCACTTTGCTCTGAATCTTAGTACTTGTCTTGTCTATCTCGCTGTATTGATTGCGGAAGTGTGGCAACACAGCAAATTAAGTATTTCCGTCGTGCACCGGGGTTGATGATTTGAAGAAGGAAAAAGGAGTGAAATGTGCTTTCTTTGGTTGTGAAAGCTCAGCTGCTTCACAACTCGCTTATTTTAATACTTTGTTCTAGGCTACACGTATGTGTATGCGTTTGAGCGTTTTTGCGCTATTTTTCGTTCTACAATATTTATATTTAGAATATTGTAAATACATTTCTGCAATTTCCCACGGGTTTTTTGTGCTCGAAGCTGCCAATCTACCTACTCCCCGGTGTATTCCTTGTGCTTGTTTTCCCATTATATGCGCCTAATTTTTATTGTTCGCTTGTCTATTCAGAGAAGTATAGTGCTTATAACCCCCGCACTCTCGCTATTGCTATTTCTTTTTTTTTTTATTGTTGTTTGTTTAGCAATCATCGTCTCTATGGGCCTTAGCATTGCGCGCGTCGCGCTTGCCACTCAATTTCCATAGTAAGATGTGTTCAGCGCTTTATGGAAATATTCTTTTGAGTTATTGGTCCGTGGGGTATGATTGCTTGCTAATGCCTGCTTGACCAGCTTACAAGTTACGATTCAAAATGTTCAATATGTTTCTTTTTTCGTAGTAAATATAACAAAATAACTTTCATATTTCACTTCGGAACTAAATATTCTTGTAAAAATTTGTTATTTACATTTCAAGAGTAATTTTATTCTTCTATTGTGTGCCATTCACGGTGAATAATCAGTTTGGTTACATTTAGGTAGTAAAAAAAATTTATAAATTTTATTAAAAGACAAAAAATAGTGGATTTAGAGAAATATTTATCAATAAATTTTGAACTGAATAAAATACATATATATTTTTTTAATTTGACAAATAATAATAAGTACACGTGACTTGTCAAATATGAAACACGCTTTCTTCTCTGTCACAAACATTGAATCGATTAAAATTTTCGCTTATTTAGTTTAATGCATCCCACTAATAAATATTGCATTGAAAGCAAATAAATTATATAAAAAAAAGGGAAAAATTACCATAAATATATTGCACAATATTCTTTACAAAAAAAAAAGAATTGTTTAGTCCCGAGTGTGTTCTTATTTTTAACGTTTAATCTTAACCATCAACATAGAGTGAAAATTAAGTGTCGACAAATGCACTCAGCTTACATTTCCTCTCTCAATCACACTAATCAATCAGCCAATCAATCAACCATGGCAATTGCAACGCTGCGTTGGTAGTTGAGGTTAACGGCTCTTGAATTAAAGCCACAAAAAAAAAGAAGAAAAACATAAAGGAAACCAACAACGATGAAATGCAATAAAATTTATGAAAAAAGTTTGAGAGCTGACATTTTTGGCGGCGAAAAAATTTATATTGCTTTAGCTGCGGCTGTTGGCTTACAAAATCGGGAAAATTGAATTTTACTTGCTTACTATTGAATGTATATACATATATACATATATACACATATATATGTAGGCACGCATAGATGTGTGCATGTAAATATTGTTGGGCACAACAAATCAAATATTGCTTGTTTATCCATGTGTTTGTATTTGTTTGCTCACATCGTTGACATTTTGAGTGTCGCTGACATTTGCAACACGCGGAGTTGATGCTGCATTTTTTTTGCGCTTTTTTTATGGCCGTAAAGCAAGTGATGTTGCAGTGTTTAAAAAATCGTAAAGTTTTTTTTCCATTTCATTTCTGTTTGACTGCAAGCGTAAAAGTCAGAAGGTTTTTTTTTTGTTATACATACATACATGCATATGTATATATGTATAAAGAGTTTAGCGCGTATGTACGTGATTGATGACGCTTATATGCTTGACGCATAGCTCATATGTGTGGGTTATTTTAAAGGCATAAAACTGGCGATTGCCATTTTATAGGCGACTTTTACCGGCCACTCATGTGTTTTCGATGTGCATATAAACACGCGCATGTGTGTGTGTGTGTATCCTTTTTGGTCTATGGTCAAGCGGCGTTGAGTGTTGGCCATCAATCAAGTTTGTTATTTAAACATTTTTTTATTAATTTTTTAATTATATTTTAGTTTCAATTTAATAAAGTTCACTAATTTATCAGCTTTGAAAAGGATACTGAAAGAAATTATGAAAGTGAGTGAATTAAGAAGAAAATAATTTAATAACTTGTCACCGCCTTGTACTAAATTCATCGTATTAGCATAATTTATAAGGTGCTTGATTATATTGCTTGCCATCGCCGAACTCATTGAATTATTCATTGTCATAGTAATCGATTATCGATATCATTCATACAGCAACGGCATGTGTCAGCAGTTTTTCTCTACGCGTGATGAATAGAACTAAATGAATTATTGATTCCGGCATTTCAATACAGATTTTAGCATATTTTAAAGAAAAGTTGATAAATACCGAGCAAAAATTATTACGAGTTGAAAAATATTTAAATTGGAGCTTTCTTTACAAATTATGGATGATGGATAGGCGTTGGCAGTACGTGACAATAAAAAATACTAAAAAAACGTTTTGTGGGCTCAAATTTGTTTCGCGAAATTCATTTTAAACACAAATTCGTAACAAATTTAAGGAAAATCCAATGAGTGACAATTTCACTTGCTTTAAGCGCGGAACAAATACAAAAGAACTAAAATATAATCTACTTGCGCACAGATACATACATACACACAAACAAATGGCATGTGTCACAAAATGAAATTTAAATTATCAAATGCTTGCGCCTAAAAAATGTCACTCCACTACTAAGCCACGTTGGCACATTCCAAATGCACCGTTGACAGATTTTATCGAAATGCCAACAGTGAGTTAAATTTGTATGTGACCGTATAAGTGAGTGAAAGAGCGCAAAAGTGGCGGCGCGGCGGTTATCTAACTACAGCAGGCAAATTGAAGAGGAGCTTAAACGAAACGGAAGTGCAAAGTTGAGCTGAGCTGAGCCGAGTTGTGGGGCGCTGAAACAGCTAAAAGCAAATGTGTGCAGTCTAGTGATAAAGTACATGAATAGTATTTTAGTAGCGACGAGAGAAGAGGGGGGGGGGGGGGGTAGTTGTTACATATTTCTGTTATAGTCTGTTTTCTTTTTTGTTTTGTGAATGTAAAAAAGTTGCACAGAAATGCATGAAAAATGTGTGCTGTAAAGTGCAAACAAAGCAACTTTTTTTCCTGCTTTTTTCGACGTGATCGCAAAAGTCCTCGCTTAAACGCCACATTTGCAACAATAGTTTGTTAGCAAAACTCGCAGCAACTGTTGCCGTGCAGTCGGCCATTGCCATTGAGGCGTAGCGCATATGTATATATATACATATATATATGTATGACGTGTTTCTGTGTATGTGTGCAGCACAAAGCCATCAAATCAATCACTTGCGACCCGCTTGCACTCGTGCGACGGTGTGATGTGTGCAAACGACTGACTAGGCATGGAGTATGCTGCAGGCTTTGGTTTTAAAATATATCTCATGACAGCTCGACGTTTTTTTTTTATTTTGTTTTGCTTCAACTTTGTTTTTGTTTCGTGCCTGACACCTGCACGTGCTCGCTGTCTCCGGTTGGCTTACAGTTTGCCATTTGCATTAAATTTTGCTATTGTTTTCTGTTCTCTGTTTTCTGTTTTCTGTTATCTCCTCAACCCTGTGCTCATCGGACATTGTTGGGCATTTGCGAACAGACACTGTTGTTGTGTTGTAGAATGAGTTTAAGTTTGTTTTTTTTTTTTTGCTTTGCGCTCAACTTTCTCCTTCACTCTTTTGCATTTTGAGTGCAAACGGTTTTCATTTTATCATTTTTTTCTCTTTTTTTTTGTGTTCACAGATTACTTGTATTGTAAAATATATTTTTTATTTTTCATCGATTAATTTTATTTAAAGAGCGTTAAAAAACTGATAATATTGAAAGCCTTTATGAGGCTAAAATAATTTCTCTTTTTTATTCTTGATCTTTTCTGATGATTTTTGGTGAGAAATTGGAAAAAAAACAATTAACAAAAAGCAAATAAAAACTTTTGGCTTTTAATTTTCTAAACAAAAACTTAAAAAATCTATGCTTTTCATCAATTTCTCTCCCGAGCTCGACAAATTTTCGAGTGTTTTGTTGCAAAATACTTTAAAATATTCATCAAAACAACAAAGTTATAGTGATTGTAAGGAAATCTTCGCCTGCAGCAGCTTGTGTCGCTTGCGGAGATGTCTTCCCTGCCTACACAGCAACTGCATTGTGCAAAAGTTTTTGAAGCGCTTTGTTATTACAGCTGCGCATCGCCTCAACTGTCGTCTGCATGACTTTAACCCGCTCTCCTCCGTCCACACTTTACACTCTTTCCCTCTGCGCCGAAACTCCCCCAACAGTCATTAACCTGCTTTATGTATGCTTCAACGGCGACATTAATTTGGGTCAGCATTTCATTATTTAAGTTATGGCTTGACAAAAATTTCTAGACAATGCACATCTCTCTTACTCTCTCGGCACCCAACACATAGCTTAGAACTTACTACTTGCTTATCAACGCTCTTCTATGCTCTGAAGCGCCAGCGAATCTGCTAGCAACTGCCGGGCCTTTTGTCTGCATTTGCTGTGCTTTTGGCATCGTTTCATAGCAAGTTTTTTCAATGAAAATGGCGGAGGAGTTTGAAAGAAAAGAAAAGACCGCACAGCATGCAGCAGCAGCAAGCGCAGTAAAATAAACGAAGTAAAGTGAAAAAAATAACAAAAGCGAAACTTAAAACAAAAGCGGAAACTTTGCCGCTATGCGGGAAGTGCACAAAGAAGCTGCCGAAGAAAGTAGTAGCGAGAAGAGCGTTGGCGGTGAAAGCTCAGCGCCGGCATGTTGTAAATGCTCTAAGCACTTGCAAGTCGCTCTTGACTTACGGGCGGCATCTCGAAATAATACCGTTGTAGTCTATGCCCATTTACCACGCTCTAAACATTGTCAGGCAATGCAATCTCCTACACGGCGGGCGTGCCTTGTTGTCGATCTATTGCAGACGCAAGCCGCAAAATCTCAAACTACTTGGCGACTGCCTACTTGGCTGTCAGGCACAAAAAAGCTGCTGTCCTACCCACGACCTCACGACAATTTTCATTTACACCCAACCCACTGCAAGCGGACTTTTTATCCCACAGTTTCGCCTGCAAGCAAGTGCATACTCCGAGCGCTAGGAAAGCGCAAAGTTTTACAGATTTTCCTTGTCTTTTTTTTTTCTTTACGCCGCCCTTTGCGCCGCTGTTCCACTTTAATTAGCGGTGTATACCACAAACAGCTTTCTGTGTGTTCTTTTTTTCTTCTGTGCTGCCTGACTTAACAAAGTACAAATTTCCGCCAAAACGTGCAGAAAGAACGTAAAATGAGCGCAATAAAAATTTACACAAAGCTTGTAATAAAAAATAAAATAAAAAAAAATAAAATAAAAAAAAATAAAAAAAAATAAGAATATGAAGAAAATAATGTGCAAAATTTGGCACGAAAAATATTTATTCTAATTTTTAGTTTTCATATTTGCCCATTTAGGCACCCTCGCTGAATACGTTTATAGTTGTTGTTGTCTGCATTTTCGGCGCGTTTGGCAACTCACGCGCTGGGCTTTGTGCGCTCAAAAGTTTTAATATGAAATTTCGCGGTTAATTTGATTATGAGATTTTTAGTCCGAAAAGTTGTTTTCGTGAAATTTGGCATTGGCGCAAAGTAT